ATATAATATATAATATGTATGTATTATATATTATATATGTACATAATTAGGTTACAAAATTAGAAACCATGCTCTAATAAAGAAAGCGTAATAATAAGGCATATTCCTTTAGTTCTTATTCTAAACTAAGGGCCTATTACAGTATTAGCATTCTTGTGCGTGGTTGGTTTGTTAATCACACGACTAATATTTCACACTACTTCTTCATACTACATTTGAACTTCCGACTGTTAACATTTTTTTAATACTTCATTCTACTGTACCATAATCGATTGCGGATGACTTCAGCAGCTCCTTGTCGGTTGTTTTTATTTTATGTGTCTTTTATATAATAGCACTGGATAACATAAGATTATGTTTGCTTTTTAGTAATGGACAAACATTAGCAATCAAACGAATTGCAAAGACAAGTTTTCAACTAACAAAAGCAGTTAGGAAAGAAGTGAAAGCGGTGAGGTAAGTACCTGTTTCATTTCTTATTACAATTAATTATTTATGGTATTTTTTCTATTCCATTTAATGTCCTTATTTGGAATATGAGCTATGACTTGGTGATAAGTACTCGGCCTCCAGTAACCCCAGGCTCATCTGAAGTACAGGTACATTCCAATATTTTTCCCCATTGCTTAAGAAAAATCCATTTCTTCAGTTTCCTAATCAGAAGCCTGCGTGTTGTCTCCATCTAGTAATTAGTGAGTTTTAACTAGATGTGGTATACCTTAATGTTCAAATCTACACATGCGTATATTGATCACTACGTAGGCTTTATTTCATTCTATAGGCCCATGATAATGACGTTTTTATATGTTTATTGTTTCGATTATATACCGTGAGAACAACCTTCACTATATTTATATAAATACTATGGGCTTTTTTTTTATCCTTCATCCACCACAGGGATATTCAGCATATTAATTTATGCAAATTTATCGGATCTTGTATAGAGGTGCCGAACGTGGCCATCTTAACAGAATACTGCCCAAAAGGCAGCGTGCAAGATGTCCTGTTAAACGAAGACATTCCACTAAATTGGGGCTTCAGGTAATGACGTCATCGTTGCTTGACTCATCTGCCGATATGTATCTTGTTATTATCGTTACCAATTAACTTAATGTTCGGAAGATTATGTACGAGCACTGCCCATAGGTAGATGCATAGAATTTAAGCTGATTTCAAGGCTAAATCGTAATTTGTATGGACATGTTAAATAATCGTTTGCAGGTATATTCTTATATAACATGATTGTCATTTTTGAAAATATGTTAAAGTGAACATTGAAGAAAAATCGATGGAAATATTGTTGATTGCTCATACGTCTTAAAAACCTCTTAATACTGATAATAAGAATTTATTTCAGCCGATTATTGATATAGAATTATTTTTGTTTTACTCATTAATTTTGGATAGTCTAGTACTGTACCTATTATTATTATTATTATTATTATTATTATTATTATTATTATTATTATTATTATTATTATTATTATTATTATTATTGTACCTTGTATTTTATTGTTTTTAGTCTTTATCAATTAATACAATTTTATCTTTTTCTAAATTGTGAAAGCATTGTCGTGTAGTGTAAGGTTGCTAATATAAAAGCATATGTTTAATTTTGATTGATATAATTATTCAACAGCGCATTATTTCTAGGGGTTCCTTTCAGTGACGTAACGCCAATTGGGTCTCTGGGGGCGAAGCCTCGGACCCCCCAGTTCAAAGGGGCCCTGGAGGGCCCTCCTACTAATAAACAGTACTCTTAACAAAGCCTTGGCATTGTAGTCTAACAGAAGACACTTAAACTAGCATGACAATTTGTTTTGTTTACAATATCAATTCTTATCTCAAAACGACTCCACTACAAACATTTAAATACCCCAACATAATGAAGTAAGGTTGCTACTAGAATTCACAAAGAATTTGAATTCAATTATAGTCATATAACATAAAAAGCAACAACCCTGAACTAAAACACGTTACGGTATTTCTTGATATTCCTCTATGAAGGGGCGCCTTGTAATTGGCTACTAATAAAAAGCACTGGCCCCGTAACTAGTTGTTACGCCACTGGTTCATTTAATGATGTTTTGCACCCAAAGTTATTGTTCTTGAAGGGTTAATTTTGCTTCTGAAATTTTCCACAATTATTTCACCTGGAGCGGTATATTGGAGGAAGATATGATTTCAAAGTAACGACCGAAGTAAAATGTAATATGTATCATATACTTTGAAGTATAACACCTGTAAATATAATTCTTGTAGATTCTCGTTCTGTACTGACATAGCACGTGCTTTAACCTGCCTTCATCAAAACAAGATATATCACGGGCGTCTGACATCATCAAACTGTGTCGTAGACGATAGATGGGTTGTTAAAGTCACAGGTACTTCACTTTTTTATTTTATTTTATTTTTCTTTTATTATCCACATTATAAATTATTAGTTAATATGATTTAATAAATTTTTAAACACAACTCCCAATCGAATACATCATCTTCACTGTTATTTTTACCCTTTTTTCCAATTCAATCATTCATTCTAATCTGATTAATAGGTATAAAATACGGGAGACTGAGAGATAAAACACGATTAGACAATTGTGATTCTGCTGCCCCGTCCCTTCGATAATGTTGCTACGATAAGTTCCTACAAAACGTAATGTCAACGTATACGTACACACATGGGCGTTTGTGGCACAACACTTGATTTTGTGGGACAAATTCGCACATTTCCTGCCCTGTTATGATTGGTCAATTGTTGAGTTTAAATGAGGTATATTTAATGAACTTTAAACGATGCTGAATTTAATTCTTAGTTTGCATATTGATTGCCGTTTTATAACCTTTTCTGAGCGTCGAGTCAATCTCATGGTGGGAATATGAAGCACTGGAATAATCAATCGCCGTCCGTGACATAATTTCTGATGGCGATTCGATTTTAAATGTTGCAAATAATGCCAGCAAAGATTTCATTTATTTTGCACTTATTGTATTAGTCCCACAACCACCTCAGGGAATTTGTTTTTGTCTGTCAATCGTTGATACACAAACCTTGATCCGTAGGACTCGACGCAATACACTCTTCACAAAAGGAAATGGCGCTATAGAATTTTATTATAATCATAGGAAGTTTATTTGACAGTATATGTATGTATACATACATACATATACATATATATATATATATATATACAACTTAAACAAAAAACTAAATACAAACTTAATACTGTACATTAGAAAAACAAGGGGTAAATGAAGCACGAGAGTGATAATTGCAATTAAAACTCTGTCCTTCATGCACTTAGAAAGTAGGCAAACTTCATACTTTTTTTCGAATTTATTCGTTCTACTTACTCAGTAATCACTTTTTTACTTCATGGACCACTGACTCTCTCCTTTTGATCGTTTGAAACTAAGTATTATATTGATCTTGTAGTCAGAGATATAAATATAGATTCCTTATTTACTATCTGAACGCTAAATGTACTCTATCATTTCTACCTAAATATGTGTGATAGTTCCGCCATCGTACACAGTAGCATTGACATCGTAGCATTGACGCAACTCATACAATATCGTTTGGGGGACGTAGTAAAGAACTGACGAGCAGTATATCTGAATCTATTAATGTAAACATAATGCGACTGATCCTAATGACAGTCATAAGTATCGCTAGATACAACCATAATCGAAGTACCATCGCGTGCAAGTTCTTACGAGCGAAGAATGGCTCAGTAACAATGGCGCCGGCTTAAAATGCTAACACCTTCGGCTAAAATAGTGTGAAATTATCATTAAGTTCAGCAGAACAGAACAGACGGGAGCGAAATGAACGCTCGAATTTGAAATAAACTTCATCTAAATTTTGGAAACCATTATTACTACTGCTCGAATCCATATGTATTGTGATCATTTTTTATGAGTCAGTTGAATATGATGGTAGGCCTATATGCAGTTCAATATTGAAAATGTATCGGTAGATAAAATTACAATGTAAAATGAAAACAGAGAACTCTGTTTCCCCCAAAACCGCATTGAGATTCTTTTCTTAAATTTCATCATCACCAAAATGCGTACAGAAGAAATATGGGTATGTTTTGTCAGCAGCAGCAGCAAGGCCTGTCGTCATTGGACTTTGCGCGGTCAGGGGCTGCCCAGAACTACAGGAAACTTTGGAAGGGGGTTCATGGGGAAAGTTTTGAACGTTCCGAGGTATAAATCAAACTAATGAACAATCAGAATGTTTAATTGAATAGTGATTAGGAATACGCGCATGTCCCACAAATACGGGTTTACGACCGTATACTACTATTGTTCGTCTGCCGTCTTATAAGATCTTAACAGCAATGCCCATAGAGGCAGGGCTTTACGGATCGGTTAAGTGATTATAATAAACAAGTAAAAAACACCGTGATGTTCTTATTTTATAATTGACAACACATATAATATATATCTTAAAACAGAACTAATCAACAGTCTGCAGTCGTATACTCATAATTTAATGCTCATACAATTGAGTGTGTACTGTAAAGGAACTTATATTATGTATCGTTTATGCTACCGGCTTCTTTTATGTTTCTGAACTTCCTTCTGGTGAGTTCAATAGCTCTAAACGAAGGTTAACTACAAAAAAGCAGTATTTGTCATACTTTGAACACGGTCGTCTGCGATGTAATATCTAGATCACGTGATATGTGTCGATACATTAATCTTTGGTAATGTGTCCAGAATTAGTTGATGATGCTAAGAATTATGTATCTCGTCTGCGCCAGCTTACCAAAACAATTATCTGTTTTGCGAGTGCGGCGTAGCCACGCATCTTTTGGAGTCACAAAGCTACCAAATCCAACTACGAAAGGTCAAACATTGTAGTAGTGTATACCAATAATAGTGTATAGCTTTGTAGTAGGTAAGCCACGGCTCTATTTATGAATATAGTTATAATTATTGTTTAAATTATAGTTATATTTATTGCTGTCAGGCCAAATTGTGATAAAAGTTATTGGAAAGAGTAAAGGGCTGTAGCTTTTGAGTAAATTTAGATGCTTGCCTTCAAATCCCGTGGTCCTGGTTTTCTGTTAGTGCAACAAAATGTTTCTCTCTTCAACAACTCAAAACAACTCCATTCCTTTCTAAACCTTATAATTTACGTGGAGCATGCTGTGTGTTACTGTATGTTTGTCTTTTCAGAGACATTGGCCACTTAAATATACTTAAGTTGGCTTTTGGCATATTAGTCAGAAAAGGTAGAAAATAGGCATAGATGTTGAGATAGAGGTAGAGGTACACTAGAGGAAAGGATAGATAAAAGAGGTAAGCCTGAATTTCGCCATATGTAGGCCTGTGTTAGATGTAGTTTTAGATGTAGCGGTAGATAATGTGAGGAGATACAACGTTAGATTACAGGTAAATGACTGAAGGATAGATTACAACAATTAGAGACAGAGGTAGAGGGAGCAGAGGTAGGCCTAAGCATAGATCTGTTAGTAGCAGATGTAGTTTTAGAGGTAGCGGTGTATATATAAATAATGAGGAGATGCAGTGTTAGATTACAGGTAAATGACTGAGGGATTGATTACAACATTGCGCAAAGTTAAAAGTCATAAAATTATGTCTGTGTCTTCTTGGATTTCGCCAAAGACCAATTTTCGCAACTGTGAATGTACGTATTTATTTACAGTTACGCGTAGTGATTAGTAATTTATTTAAGGTAAATTCATATTGATACTGGAATAAATGTCTTCATAATTCAATTACTCTACCACTGAAAATGCACTCAAGCCTCAGATATTTTTAACGATCGGAGTCACGTGGTAGACCTACCTTATTTTTTCTTTCATCCTTATGATACTGCTGAATCCCAAGTGATATTATATAATATAGTATAGTTTCTTTCTTTTGACATTTATGACCTAAAATGTATTGCTTATGGGTAATCCAATTTATAGTTCTTTTTATTCAACCATGAACCATGACGCTTCATAGGTTTTTCACCATCAATCTCAATTCAATCTCAGTTTTGGTAGGCTATTTTACTTTGTTTTCTTGGTTAAAAAGAATGTTATTTGATTATTTATTATTATTGTGTTTCGGTGTCTGTCATGTGTGAGCTGTCGTGACAAATTTAGTCTTGGTGGTACAAAAATGAAAAATGCGTTATTAATATTTAGATAGATGACTATATAAGTTTTATTGTGGTCTTTGAATCATCTTCCTAGATTGAGTAAAACCAGAGTAAGCCTATTTTAAAGTTCAGATATCTAAAAACATACTTAAGAAAAATTTGCCTCTAAAGATAAACAACTGATAAACTTTGTTCTGGTTTTCCCATCAATTCTGAAAAGTAGTACTGTGAAATATACATAATACAGTAGGCATATAGGATATATATATAATTAAACTTATCAGAAAAATATAATATGGAATATATCCAATTAACCCAGCGTACCACAAGACTCATTTTGCTCACATCAGTAGGTCTATATAAGGCCTACCAAAGCCTTAGTGTAATTCGTATTATTACTCTGTCATCGGATCAAACACCTATGGAACGCATTATTCAGTTCCCGGTGGAAGTATTCTATAAAGTTACAATTCAGTAATTAGCGCATTAGCTGTCCGGTTACTGCATTACCTCTAATTGCGCTGTTACAGGCTGTGATTTGTTCACGGTATGTTTGCAGCTAGAACGAGTTAAATAGGCCTACCAATATTGTAGCCGTTTTTCATCATTAATTATGCTAACATAGGCCTGAATTCTATATGTAGATATACAAAACAGGTACCGGTATCCCTCGCGGGTTTATTATTCGCTGTTTTGTGTAAAATAAAGAAAATTATGTAGATATGTTGATATAGGTGGATGTGGCAGACACGTAACGACGACTCATCAAGAAGCCAGACGCCGAAGTAGCTAATTGAGTGTCTAAAAAAACTAACAAGACTAACAAGAACAGTATCAACATTACAAAGCTGAGGCCCGCCAAATATCATCCATCAGTTATTATTATTTCCCTGAGGACTTTTATAATATCAGATTGCATACAAAGTCATATTTATGTCACTTCTCACGTTTAAAGCAAATAAATGTATTCTAAAGTGATCAAGTAGCAGTGGAGTATCTAGCAGTGGAGTATCTATCATCTATAAGTACTTGAACTTGAATTTTGTAATAGAGCGATTGGGGAAGGGGGTGAGCTTTATGGGGTGCGCCCCCGCGCACACCCTATAGGGTACGCCACTGCCAAGTTTAAAAACACACTCAGGATACAGTACTCAACGTGTATCATTTGACACTAGTTTTTAAACGTTGCTCGCAACTGAGTTCATTTATTGTTTTGTACAGTATGTCGTTATAATCGGATAACAATAAAGCAAATTTCTGGAAAACGAACTTAGACCAAAATGGAGAAATTTGTGAAAGAAATTAATTCGAACCTGAACATGAAGTAATATGACGTCCTTAGAGGAAACACATTATTGAATTATCAGAAAGTCCATTAGGATGAGAGTGGATAAGAAAGAAGACCACTTTACAAAAATCGAATAAACGAATTTAATTTGATTGCGAAAGAGCATGAAGAAAAGAAAAAATAACAGAACAGGATTAATTAATATGCCTCAGTGTAGAAATAATTTAACTGGCGCATTGATCTGCGATCAATATATGCCTACTTGGATGTACTAGTAGTCGATAATAACCATTTAGATGTTTCTATGCCATTTCATTGAGATCAGGACAATTGCGAAAATATCAGGCCTGTGTCGTTAAGTACTCTCAGTTCCTTGTTGTCTTTAAGTAGTGTGTGTTTGATTTTCTATGATGTTGGAGTGCAAGGAGTGGTCAAGAAAGTCCTAATATAGGCCACTGATCCATAATTTCTTCTCCCAATTTGTGATACAAACATTACAAATTTAACGTATTTGACATATATATTTATGTTATGTTTAGTTTTCTATTACATTCTGTTCGGATGTTTGACTGTATTATACATGACTTTACACATTACCAGCAAGACAATTTTCTAAATTGTTTGTATTCTTAAAACTAGGTCACTTTGTGAACTTTTTAACATTTAAACTTATATCAGTAAAGAGTAAAGATAAACCCATTCAAAGAAAGACAAATGTGTTTCGACCTTCAACCATGGGCGTGTAATGGGTTAGAATTTTTTAGGGTAACTGCACTAGAGCCAATTTCGATTCCATTACATGATTTAATTTAATGTTAACAACGTTTCTGCCCTCAATTCTTAGACCATGGCCTGCCGACCATACGACAAGTCGAAGGCCAAGAGTTCGACAGAACGTATAAAGACCAAGTGGCTCGCGTATACTTACCGCCAGAGGTTATTCAAGGCAATGGGAATGTGTTTTCTCCAAGTACTGACGTATACAGGTAAGATATGTTTTTACAGAACATGCACAAAGCGGTTAAAAAATAATAAGTAATACTTGTGTCCACTTATTCAATGGGACACGATTTTGTTTCTGTCTTTCTTTTTTTTTTTTTTTTTCCGGTTCTACTTTATGACACCTCTCTCAAGCTTGAAAATAGAGTTGTTACTTTTTTTTTCTAAATTATTACCACCTCAATACAATTGAGCTGATATGCAGTAGGCCTAGGTTCCATGTCTGCACACAGTATTTGCCTTTTTTTTTAATGCAGTGTTGATGATAATTATGCCGGTTACTGCTTTTGAATTGAGATTACCCTACGTTGCTTCGATGGTTCACATTTTTCTGCAATGTAAAAACTCTTTATTTATCCCAAGTTTTTGTCACAACACCGTTGGCAAATAGACCTATATTAAGCACTAAACATTCCTGTCACACTTGTCTCTTTTATGTTTGTAATTATAGGCTGAAATTATTAATTCTTATTAATTCCCAATTCTCTGAAGTAACATTATTGGGCGCAGTAATTATATTGATCCAATAAACCACTCCGATATAATAACAGTCTTGCCGCAGCCAATGTTGCCGTTATGGCTCTTGAGGGTGCAGTATGTCAAAACCAGGTCCATTACTAGTACCCAGTAAACACAAAACGTAATCGTACCATTTGCAACATTTGTGGTTACGTAGGTCAGAAAATAACGTTAACACAACGTTGCAGCTACGCCAGTGGCGTAGGCCTATCTAGAAGTCTTGAATTGGGGGCTGATGGGGGTGGGGCGCGAAGGTAAAGTGGGGTGCTCAATGATCAGTTGAAGGGCGCTAATTCGCAAAATATGGTGATTTCAGGTGATTTATAACTACTTGACCGTGGTTTTTTTTTGTGGTGGGGGCGAATGGAGGCGCAAGTATTTTTTTTCTTTGGGGGGGGGGGTGCGCCCCCTCCTCCCACGCCCTCCCCTAGATACACTGAGGCACGCTGCAATCTATTTATGGTTCTTCAAGAAATAAAAAAGCTCTGTACACGAAACTGTAAAAGTTATTACTGCATAAAGTAAGATTGTTATTTGTGTAGTTTCTAATCGGGGTTTTTAAATATGATTTTTAAAATACATTTTATTTTAAATGAATTTATTTCTTATTGTTATATAGCTGAAACATGTTAAACACTGTTATTATGCCTATCCTAGGTAATTAATAGTAAACTCTGATTTTTAATGTAATTGTCCATAATCTCCTACTGTAGGTATGCTTCCAAAGTCGGTAGCCGATGAACTAAAACGCGGAAAGAGCGCCACTGCAGAATCGTTTGAAAGCTGCACAATATTTTTTAGGTAAGTCTAAATGAAGAAAATAAAAACAAATTACATAACGTTTCCTCCAAACTGTTCCATATCTATAGACCTTAACGTTCAAATTTTGCATCAAATACTCTAACCAATGTGCTGTCCTAAAAAAATGTATTACAACCTGCCTTTGGAGTCATTATGTGAGTAGAGAGAGTATGATTACCGTCATATTAACGACTTCATACATTATATGAATAAAACTATGAATACTTATTGTCGTTTAATCTTTAATTAATTTTGTTCACAATAAAGACGGCTGAACTCATCCATAGCAAGTATCAATTTATTTCTATTTTTCTTCAACATCGTAGCGATATAGTTGGCTTTACCAAACTATCCAGTTCCAGTTCACCATACGAGATTATTGCTCTTCTCAATAAACTTTACGTGACTTTTGACTCCATCATCGATAATTATGACGTATACAAGGTTGAGACAATCGGAGATGCATGTAAGTTTGAAAAGTGCACGCTACCTAGATTGCACTTGTAAATCAATCTGATGCTCAAGGCATCTATAATGGCGACGCCCAGTATCTCCTGTTCACACGAGATGAGATAAACATGTTAAACGAAAACATACTATATAATGTATGTGAGCTTAGCCAAATTTATGTTTTAGCATGTCTAATTGTGAATAGCTCAACACAATATGTGTTAATATTTTGAATTAAGCCAAATTCACTATAGATTTAGGCAAAGGAATAGAAGCTAAACTCACGAAGCCGAAATCTGTCGAGAAGGTTTAACGGTCCACTTCAAAATTATTCAGTAATAGAAACGGAAATTAATTAATAAAATAGCCGTGGAATTCAAGAGGAATGTTTGCATTGCAGAAAAAAAAAATGTTCAATTAACAAGCTGATAGGTACCGGTATAATAGCTCCATAACATTCTGATAAAGGTCGTGACGGAAACAACCTTCAGGAAAGATCGTTTCTTAAAAAAATAGTATTTGAATTTTTATTTGTATGGTTTATGAATTAATTTTGAAAGACTGTAGCAATGCTGTAACTTCTTGGTTTTATTAAATGGAAGGCAATGTCCAAAGGTCGCACACAATACGCCTACATCAAAAAAATATATAAAAGTCGAAGTAATTACGATAATATACATCGATATAAGGCCATTAATATACAAAGACAAAAATTCAGGATTATTAACTTGGAAAACATATTTAAAAGTAGGCCACTTTATAAACATTGAACCCGAAAGACATTTATTAAGCACAACATACATTTTTATAAACAGTGATTGAATCGCATGGGGCATGGTAAAGTCATGGAATAATGTTTAGAAGGGTTTTTCAAGCACCTGCGGAAAATATACTGGAAAAGTAGTCTCATGATTATTGTTGTTGAAATTATTACAGTTACAACACTGTTCATTAGGCCTATTATTGTTAGAATTATTATTATAGGTTAGTCATGTTTGGTTATGAATAGTCAGTAAACCGTGTGGAAATGTTTTATCACTCGAGTACTCGATCGTAGGTATTGTTTTTTTACTATTAACATCATGAAAATTATCAGCATTAATCTGATATTCTATTGCATCCTTATGTTTCTACAGATATGGTTGTCTCCGGCCTTCCGAACAGGAACGGCGACAGGCACGCAGGTGAAATAGCTAGTATGGCCCTAGATCTAATTAGAGTGTGCAACACATTCATTATTCCCCATAAACCAGACACCAAGTTGCTCATTAGAGCTGGTATACATTCAGGTACGTTAAACTCGTCTTATGTTCAATCAAATTAAATATTGATTTATGATATTTGTCTTGGTTGTTTTCAAATAGTGCTTAACCCTGGTATGTACGAGATTGATAATTCTCAAAATAGTGTATTAGCTTAAAACCAAACAGACTCCGAAAGCCTATACTTACAGTATAATAGTCTTACAATATTATTTTATCATTATTCAAAAATTTCTTTCTTTTAAGCACACTGACAATTGGAAAAGTGTGTCGGCCGGATTAATATATATTTTTTTTTCACAATACACCTAGGCTATAATTCTTGTGTCCACTGCCAGTGTGCCATCTTCACTCACCCATTGTAGGCCTATATAGTAAGGGGCTTTTCGGCCATCATACATGTAGGCCCTAATGTTCTTTTCTTCATGGTAAGCCGACCCTATTTTCAAAATACAATTGGGTTTGGGTCGGCCTTAGGCAATTTACCTACAAAGAATATGTCTCTCAATTATTATCCTATAAAACATGAACCAATCGATAAGTTTGAAATAGAATTAAGCCTATGAGACAAACGTTGAAGAGAGTTATTATAACTGTACCGTATTTTTTCATCGCTAAATAGGTTTTGTGTAACACGCCTGAAGACATTTAAAAACTTATACAAAAAATTATTAGATTCCAAAAAAAATTTTTTTCTAATAAAATCTCGGACACCGATGCAATTGAAGTAATCAAGCCGCGATGCCCAATCTGTGAGACAATACAATTTCAATGCGAATATTAATGCTTAATCATATTAAATTGATGCTAAGAGAAATTAATATTTTTGGGATTGACACGATGTGCGTCACCAATGGTGTCAGTCGGTTAGGTCTATTGAAAATGCAAAATTTAATAGATCTCAATCAAAATTTTAAATAACGACCTGTAAATATTGCAATTCATAATTTACCGATGAATGGATAACGCCATGATAATAATAGGTCAGTGCTCGTACATCAAATATTTTATTTCTTTCTTGATAATCTAATGAAGATTTAGAAAATATTATTCCCAATGTCATAAGGAGATATTAATGAGTTAACTTATGAATTATACCATTCTTTAATGACGTTTACTTTCAAATCAAATTGATCATACAATGATATATATCAGGTTTCACATGAAAAATGTACATAGCACGTGACATGTTTTAATTTGATTTATGATTTTGAAAACGTGCGTCGTATTCCTGTTCCATATCAATCATACTCACGTAAATCATTGAAATATAAAGAATATATTGTATAAAATTGAAATATAAATACACAAGTTGTTTTGAAGAAACATCACTGTATACGCCTACGTACACGGATGGGGCCGTGGTGGGGTGCATTGACGACGCGACAGTAGGACCGTACTAAACGCAGCTGCTTTTTAAGTTGATTTGTAAGAGACTGATGGTGGCAGAGCAGTTGCTAAGCATTTACGTCAGAGCTACGTATTAATGATCAAGCATCCGTTTTTTTGCTAAATATTACGACTATCTTCAAAATTTGGAATAGCAACGACTATTGACCTTTAACACTGAACTGAAAATGTAAAGTAATGATAAAAGAACATTTTGTGGTCAACGTTATCACTGTAGAGATGCAAGCGTCTTCTTTCTATCGTTGGAACCTTGCTATGAACTGAAAAAAAAAACACAGTGCACCAATTCGAGTTTAATTGTGAGACACATCTATTCGACACCACCCTTAAAAAAAAACCAAATAACAATCGTCAATCTTTTAACATAAGCTAAACCTCTAAGTGGAGACCGAACTCCGAGAAAAATGTTCAGGTCTCAAAGTGATCACAAATTGGAAGGCGAACTGTATCTACATTACACTTATCGCAAACGTCGAAATCTCCAGAAGTGAAATGACACGTAGGCCTACTTGTTTGTCTCACCTTTTTTTAGGATATACGTCTCCACAATTGTGTGATCAATACTTCAAAAACTTAAAAACAGAATAGAGAAAATATTCGTCAACAGCTTGTAGTATGTAGGAGTCATGACTGCGCCGTTGACCAACATAGCATCTTACAAAGTGCTACATTTTTCTTGTGAAAAAACAAACTAATGGACGTACGTGAACGCAGTCGAGAAAATGTAATCATGTCGCCGCTTCCAATTCACAGTTACCTGAAGTCATAGCTACAGATTTAGAAAATAAAAGTATCTAAACATGAAATTTATCTTGGATTCTTTTATTACACCACCTTCTGTAGCCCGTTTCAGCACCTTCTTGAGTTTCAGGAACATTGTGGATGAAAATCCACCGTACTCCAGCACTACACTCTCTCATCTTTCAGTAGTAGGATTGTCACTAGTAGAAATGTTTCTCTTTCTGAGCCTAAACATTATACTTTCCTTACTCCACAGGCCTACTCTACATTGTTAGTCACAAACGACACACCGTTGTTAAAGGAAAAATGTCTGTACATAATTTATGTTAAAGAAACACGAAACAATCTGATAATTTTGTCATAACTATATTATTTAAAAGTACCATGGCTGACGTAGAGCGCTTTTGTCGACATTCTTTTCAAGTGATTATGTTTAAACAGTTTTTAACTTAACCACGGTGTTTGATGATGTGTTTGCTGGGGATCAATGCAATGACATTAAGTATCAATTATACTATGACTAATGGGTTTTATTTTATAGGGCCTGTTGTGGCAGGAGTCGTGGGACTGAAAATGCCGCGGTATTGTCTATTTGGGGATACAGTGAATACAGCATCAAGAATGGAGTCCACAGGAGAAGGTATGGTTACTACATATTAAATTGCTTACTAAACCTATCACTAGACGAAATTCATCAATAAATATCTAATGATTATTTAATTTCAATTGATCTTAAATTTATATAAACTCCATGTTAAGAAAATGGACTTCAAGTTTCCAGATACGGATACCGAAGAGGGCGTCCTGTAAATTTACCAATAATAATTTCAAAGTGGCTGCGTCTACGCCGATCGTACGTCATGCTGTAGTAGTGCATTAAGATAGGTAGAATTACGCTTTAAGGTTTGGGTAAAGCCAAGTCGACCAATCAGCGTGTTGGAATTTGCATAATTCGGCGTAGACATAGCCACTACGTAATAATTTTAGACAGCATAAATATTATTTATTATGTAATTTCTACTCTGCAGCTCTAAAGATACAAGCCAGTGAGAATTGTAAAAAGGTTCTCGAGAAAATTGGAGGATATAACGTTGAAGATCGAGGAGAGATGCAAGTGAAGGTAAATAATAAACATAGAAAATAGAGCATCTAGTGTACGAAGACGATCCTAAAGTTCAACAGGTTTTCTAATCTGGCTCCGTTCGCGCTGTTTAAATACTGGGTCTACCCCTGAAATCAATAATTAAGCATATCATATGGTTGTGTTTCGTGTTGCGAAAAAAAAATATCCTAAATTTGCATCTTTGAGAAATAAACGACTGTATGAAAAAAAAAATCTATCTTGTAAAGTAGGACGGGTAACACAGCCTAGCTTACTAATGAGGTTACTGTCCAAAATTAAGATTTAACGGTGCCTATTATCATGATATATCGTACTGAGTACAGCTTTATAAATTTACAAGTTACTAGTGTGCATTTAAGTAGAGCAAGTACAATTATACTTATAATTGTTGTAAGATGAAAAACTACTGAGCCAGATCTCTTGGACGTTCTTCGTGTAAATTTATGGCACGCGTAAATGAAGCTGAGTTAAGTTTACGATGTGTATTGCCAGGTTCAATTGAGAGCTGGCATTTGCGTTAATACAACACACGAATTGGTAGAATCGAAGGTTAACCAGGTCATAAAACATACACTGAGAATTATTGGAATTAATCCAAACTTATTGCTGGGAAATACGTTGATATAATGGGCGAACGGCAGGTTTCCTTCACCAATTCCCACCAATATATAAATGTTGCATTTCTTCTTGTTTTGTACGTGGGCCTCTCAATCACCTGACGTACTATTGAACTCTTGTTTACCTCAGATTATTCTATATCGTTTCGAATATTATTATTAATAATAATGATGAGGATGATGAGGATGATGATGATGATGATGATGGGGATGATGATGACGATGATGATGATGATTGGTGGTGGTGATGATGATGATGAATATAATATGATGATATTAAAGAATGATTTTTAATGATGATATTGATGATATTGAGGAGAATTGTGATTACGATTAGGCCTATATTATGATAACGACGATGATGACAATAATTGTGCGATGTAAAATAATTTGTCTTTCAATTTACCTCATTGTATTTCAGGGCAAGGGAGTGATGAGAACATACTGGGTGATGGGCCGAGTTCGCGTTCCCTCATATTCGTTACGTCATTCCCATCATTCTATAGCAACGACTGGTGGTTCATCCACCGCATTAACGTCTACCAATATTATAATGGATGAGGAGGATAATAGGACAAAGAAATTATCGTTAGAGGAACGAAGCGATGACGGAAGTTTCAGAAGATTCTCCCTCCCAGGTACAATAATGTGTAGCCTATATAAGGGGATTAAAATGTAAGGGTGGTAGGGGACCTGGTATTCCCACACTATGCATAGAGAAGCTAACTGTAATTGGAGAAAATGAGAATGAAATTCACATTTCTCTCTTGATTCTGATGCTTCTAATTGTTAGAGAGAGGTAATGAAGGTCGTCTTTGAACTTTGAACTATTCATACATAAATAGATGGTGCGTGACGATCCCGCTATACCTAGTACTGTACCTTTATTATCTTGGGCGTAGGCTGCGGGTGGACGCATTCCCACCCCCAATGGTATCAAAGTAGTTCCACGAAGTGAGTTAAAATGTTAAAAATGATCATTACTTTTTCATTGGAATAGGGATTTAGTACCACATTCTGGGATTTAGTTCCGCATTCTTAATTTTAGCAACCCCACCCCAGCCTACGCAACTGATTATATGAGGAGGGAATGGCATAGTAGGCCTGTAGGCACCTGGCCTGTTGCCACCCGGCCTTTTGCCACCCGGTCTGTTGCCACCCGGCCCTTTACCACCCGGCCCTTTACCACCCGGCCCGTTGCCACCCGGTCTTTTGCTACCTAGGCCCGTTAGCACTCGGCCTTTTGCCACCCGGCCATCGTTGGACGATTGTTTGAAATAAAATACAGTAAACTAATAATTAAATATTAAACTGGAAAGTAATTTAATCAAGAAAAAAATTTGCTACATTAGGCCTACTAGTACAAATCTGTGTAAAAAATCCACGAAAAATAATACTAATATTCGACATTCCCAAAGGTGGCAATGGGCCTGGGTGGCCACGGGCCTGGGTGGCAACGGGCCTAGGGTGGCAAAAGACCGGGTGGAAAAAGGCCGGGTGGCTAAAGGCCGGGTGGCAACTGGCCTAGAGTGGCAAAAGCCCGGGTGGCAAAAGGCCCGATGGCAACAGGCCGGGTGGCAAAAGGCCGGGTGGCAACGGGCCCGGATGGCAACGGGCCGGAACCCAGTAGGCCTATTCCCACTACAAGACAGTGGAGGGAAAATTACAGTCTATACCCGGCACAGTGATGTGCCTTTGGATGAGCAGAGGGAGCGTGACATTCCCTCCTTTTATAGCATCATCATCATCATCATCATCCAAGCCACAGTAATTTTGTATAAGCAATAAACATTCTTTTTACCGAAACAGAAATGCAGTTATGAATGGGAGAAGGGGTGGAGGCGGCTTAAAAATTAATTCTGCTACTCTTATGTACACTAACGTAGATATTTTTTTTTTCTTCTTGAATTGGGAAGGGATGTGTTATTATTATTCCCTAGTAAATAATGATATGGCTTATTCATAAATGAGAGGGAATTGGGGAGTGAAATTTCGACTAAATACACAATGTCGTCAATGTTTTTATGTATTATGAATAAGAGAAATTAGAAGAGAGAATAACGTAGTATTATGTACTTAATTACAAAGGGAGAGCCTCCTGGCAAGCTGTTTAATGCCTGGCCCACAACTAATAAAGTAATTTTATAGAAGTTAGCAAAAGCACAAATGACTTAGCGTTTGCGTTAACTCCTACCTCTAAGTTAATTCAGCGATAATCTTTAGCTAATATTTTGAGAAGAAATGGAAGTGCCACGTAGGCCCTAAGGTATCGCTTTAACAAAACCGCCGGATTATAAAAATAATAATTTTTATACTTTTTTTTTTCTGCCTTAATAGGTTCAATTGAAGAAAAGGATGGTATAGAGATGTCCGAGAAGTTGCTACTTATAAACGAAAGCTCATTCTAAGTACATCTAAATCGTGATTGGTTTACGCAAAAAATTACACCGTCCAAGTTCTACGACTCAATGAATTAAACAATCAATCAATTAATCAATAAATAATCATTTATTTAACATACCGGCACATATGAAGAAAATATATCTATAAAGATGCAATTGACAGTCGATCAATATTAATAATCTACCGTATATTACACTGTAAAATGGTGTTTAGATTCATAAACACATAATATGTATTCACCATTTTTCACACGTTCATAACATGTGTTTAGAATTTAGAATGTATGCTGTGTCCACTTTTTTCACAGGTTTAGCTGGAAACATATTCGTATTTTAAACGTAATTACGTTGACTGCATGTAGAGAAAAAGAACCCCTCGGTGACACGTTTATTGCTAAACGTGTGGAGCATTACATCCAAAGACTTTTAACTGTTACCAGGATAGGAAGCTGACTGGTTCAAGCCGTCTAACTTGAATTAGCCTTATGTGTGGTATTGTTATGCTAATGAGGCAGATAAGCACAATCTGCACAGGCTCAGAAAAACAAAAATTTCCTTAGCCACACTGCGTATCGGCTAGGCGTACAGCTAGGCCTAGCCGAGAATTACGGTACGGTATTTACAAAGCAAAATAAGGGTACTAATGCCACTTGCCATGCAAAATCAATCATACTTACGCCGATCCGTGGAAAAGGCGTATTAAAATAAAAAAAAAATATTGGCGTTTGTGAGCAATACGTATTTTAATTTTATATAGGTAAGTAGTAAGTATATGAATAATTTTAATGCACTAGTTGGTTGATAACTTCATTCTAATTTGTTTTGGGTCTTTTTTTCTGCATTTTTATAAGCGGTTAGACATGGCCTAGACCGGGCCTAGGCTAGCCTATGTGATGTTCATTGTAATACTACAAAACAAAATCACATCAATTTAAAATCAAATTTGTGAACATACTTGCCTTATATCCTAACTAGCAGTTGATTTTATCCGGGTAGATTAGTTTGTTTTTAAGTGTGTAAGTATGATTGATTTGGATGCCAAGTGAAATTAGTACCCTTATTTTGCTTTGTTTTACCGTACCGTAATTCTCGGCTTCGCCTACCTGTACATCTAGTCGATACGCAGTGTGGCTAAGGAATAAAGTTTTGTTTTTCTGAGCATGTGCAGATTGTGCTTATCTGGCTCATTAGCATAACAATACCACACATAAGGCTAATTCAAGTTAGACGGCTTAAACCAGCCAGCTTCCTACCCTGGTAACAGTTAAAAGTCCTTGTTACAACATATAGTTGTTCATGTTTAGCTTTTAAACACGCTAAACATGTAACCACATTAGAAGCTCCACACCGATTTTTACAGTGTATGGCCATTTAATCTAATGATCAAGAAAGTAATCAATAACATTGTCCACGTGCAGACTCATCAGTCGTCGTAGGCAGTCAATCACAATTAAAATATTAGTGTTAATTATTAATGCACTTAATGAGTTTCGTTTACTCAGTAGACGTATATTTATTTGACCATATCAATCTTGATATATTGATGATGAGAGAATTCAACTTATTTAAAGATAAATGTTAGAAAAAAAAAATATTGAAGTAAAAACTATAAAGGTATATGAAAACCTATTGGTGTAAGATTTGTAAAATAATTTGTTTACGAATTTTTATTTTCGACCAAATCATCATTGATACTGTGTTATATATTGTGGAAAATATATAATCCTTCAGATAGGCCTAAATACAATGGTAGCGCATAATTTCATTATCGGTTGAATGTGATCAGCTAGATATTAAAAGTCTGTATCATGAATTGTTTCGATAAGTGTCTCAATAGACGTTAATATATTTAATCCGATTCCTATTAAATGAGCAATTCAATTTTTCAATTTTGAATCTCAAGCGTTCGACCGTATTCGATTGGTTCGTTTCATTGAAAACGATTTTCGTTGGTGACATTTTGATTCGGCTGGCTCGTAAAATAGAACGAAAATTTACATAAATCAGAGTGCGTTAATTTGCAAGTAAACTTATCCACGTGACTACAACATGGTCGATTGGTCAGTTTAGCAAAATAATTTGCGTTAATAAAATTTAGATTAAAATTCATAAACTTATAAATATAGGCATATTTGCCCACATAAAGTCAAGAAATAATTGTAGGCTAGAAATAAAAAAATTACACGAAAATATCAAGCCGAAGTAACGTTTTGATGTGTATCGCGGTAACTACCCAGCCATATTGTATTTTGCTGAGTAGGCCTATTCACCAGTTTTCTATTCGTTTGGTCGTCTTCGTTAAGTAGGATTTTACCACTGAGGAAGCAAGCAAAACGGCCATTCGAATACAGCCACTATGTCTTAAACCTTCCAAAGCTTCATCACAAATATGTAAAAGAAACTAAAAAAATTGTAAGCGAAAAATGTAATTACAGATTGTAAAAATGTTATATATTACCAAAAATGCTTCTATACCATAAAGTTATTACAGTATATTCTTAAATTAGTCTATATTTTGGTGTGAAACATGTGGAGCACGGTGGTGGTATAATTAAATTTGCACTATATTAATGTACGATTTTAAAATCATCATGAACACACAGGTCACAGATTTGTGTGTGTGTGTGTGTGTATGTGTACCCTTATAATAAGTTCACACAACCTAGGGTGTACCATGCTCTCCCAATTGGGTCCAGTCTTCGATTCATTCCGTTCATGCTGTCACGTTCCACAAATTAAACAATGAATTTACATTGTCGCATTTCATTTTATACAAAGAGTTTACAATCTTGTGTGTTTCATATTTTACAATGAGTTCACACTGTCCTGTTTCACATCGATGCGTTGATTTTGCGTTCCATTTACACTGTCACACGCTTCATCTATGCAATCGGGTATCGACATAAGCTCTTTTCTTGCCTGTTGTATAGTTGTCTTCCTGCAACGAGCAATATATTGAGATATAATGTGGATTTCAAATTAATACCAAATTAGCTACTCACGAGCTGCCAAGCCCTGTTTTTTAAGACCTGCTTTCACTGAGCTTCTTACCCCCTGATGTTTTATATAGTGCACCCTCCAATTCGAGACCTCTCTAATTCGACTACTTTTTTCAATGAACGAAGTAACAATCTTTATTCGATTAACACTAAGCTCCCTCTATGGGATGGAGACCGAACCCAGGGGCCGGATTTATCAAACTAAAAATAGCTTAAGTTCATCTTAAATCCATTTTTTTTTGCTTAAGTGAAATTTATCACTATTGCCTTAACTTAAAAATTGCTTAAAATTAAAAAGTTAATTGTACGCATGAACCATCTAAGACGATTTTAAGATTTTGCTAAGATGGTTTGATAAATCAGCTTTAGATATTTGCTTAGGGACGTCTAAACTTTTTTGACTTAAGACATTTGCTAAGCTGAGATTGATAAATCCCGGGCCTGGTCCCAAAGGTGTTCTAGAATGGGAGGGCGAAATGTATTACCTTCAATTTACTTGAAGATTGAATTATGATATAATTACGATAAATTCTATTAATGGGATTGAAAAATGTTCAAAAATCCAAGGAATTTTTTTTGTGGGGGAGGAGGGGTTGCAGGGAGGTGGGTTAACGCTGTGTCGTGTGTTTAGGCCTAAAGAATTAGTTAATAACCGGTTTTGGTTTGCGCTGCGATTCTTGTAAAATTTAGTGATCCAATCGATTTTGTGTATAAAAAATGTACATAGTTTTTGTATATTTGGCAAACCTAGCATTGGTCTAGGTAAGTTGAATGCAGTGTAACGATCACCTGGTGTATTTAAATTAGTCACATGATGCCTTACGTTGGTATTTAAAGAAATATAGTATTTATTGAATATCGCGTACGAAAGTAGTAAAATCTTTATCATTTTGTGTATAGAAAGTTATTTATAATTGCAAATAATGTTTATAGTGTCTTCTAGGTGTAAATGAGTATTTGAATAGAGTAAATCATTGCTCACTTTTTCCCTTTTTAATTTAATAAATGCTCTCAGACCATGTGGGGCCCAGGGGTTAATTCATTCCTTCCATATTATCAAAAGTACACACTCGCAAAATATTATTGTTTTGCTTTATTGATATCACCGTCTGGTACCTTCCATTTTTCTTTGAATTATGCATTAGGCTATGTGCTGTTGTTGACTGTTTGCATGTTCGGTATTAGATATTCCAAAGGTATGATTGAGATTTTAATGTCGCCTTTGTCAATCAGGCAGGTCATGTTTGTAAAGTGACACGGGTTTGTTTATTGTCACGTGATCTAGGCCTCGTTCAATTTAAAGATGTTTAATGTAAAAGGGTTATCACTGTTAATTCAGTGATGTTTAATACTACTGTTGTTGGAATTCAATGTGTTTTTGGTCTTAAGCCGTGCACATCCCTCGTCGGCCGATAGCTGATCAATCGTCAGCCCATCTCTGTTCCATGCTTAAAGTGCAATGGCGTAACAGCTACATGAGCTGTCATTGGCATTTATATTTGTCAAGTCTATGGGCCCCATATCGGCTGAGTACTCCTCAATGAACTGAAATTGTAAAAAATAACATCAAATACGTTCTTAGGTGTCCCCCAGCTCCAAGAGTGATAGGGCCCGAAGAAGTTTTAACCGGGGTCTCGTGTTTCTTTGTTACGCCACTGACTTGATGACATGTGGCTTTCAAGAACAAACCGCTCATCGAATTTTCTGATCTTTAAAAGCCCACCGTGTGACCGTGATTTTTTTTTGTCACGTTGACTTTCTCATAATGAATACAATCAAATTATAAATTTGATATTCAGAAGAAATAAATTGTCATTGCTTTAGGCGACGAATGTAATTTGAAAATAGACGGTATATTTGTATAGGCCTTCTTAAGTGTACATTATAGTATAATATTAGCTGTGTTTGCTTGGCGCGCACAGTCTATTTATGCAAATTATTTGTGACCATGATGAATAAAGAAACTATGTTTTCGATGATTGTTAACAATCAGCCTTTGTTGTTGTTTATATGGCTACATTGATGAGTCATGAGAATGTTGTTGTTGATGATGATGATGATGACGACGACACATGGATGTCGATCGGTTGGGGACAGAGAGACACCCCCACGCACTTTTCAAAGTAGGGGAAGTAGGCGGACATCATATCAATTGTCCCCCTTACATTTCACCAATCTTCTATAGTTAAACCCCACTTTTCAAAGCGAGTGGAAAGAACAACAATTACGAATGACTGTCGTGAATTTTGTCTCTTTACTCTGTTCAGTGGCGTAACAGCTATGAGCTCTCATATTGGCTGAATAAAGCTAGGGGCACGGAGCCTCAAGAGAGGCTCCACTACATTCGAATATCAATTTTACAAACAAATAACCAAGGCCTTTTTCCAAGTCTAAGTATATGCCAAGTGATTGGGTCATTTTTATTATCATCATTATCGCCAGCCTACATACCGATAAAAACATTAAACGTTATATTAAATTTAAAAAAAAA